AAGACCTGAGAGAAACCCAATTGAGAGATTTTACTGCAGATGCATCACAGCGACCAAATTCCAATTGATCGACCATAAACTCAATTTCATTATAAACCATGCCGCGACCCTCGAAAAACATGAACGTAATAATGAATCATCAAAACATAAATAAAGCAAAATCTAGGTCAACAGAGATACAGATTTGAAAAAATCCGAGCTTTTTGCGTCATGCAATCCCAGATCAGAATCAGATAATCAGGAAAAGATGAAACGGAAGAAGGTCAAAGAAAAGCAGGAGTTGGATCAGGGATTCAAACATAAAAATGAGGAGAAACACAATAGCGGTATATAAAGGAAAGCTGACCATCTCCGTCCTTGTCAAACAGGCTGAAAGCTTCCTTGAACTCAGAGATCTGATCGTCGGTGAGCTGATCCGCCATTGTTAGCGCGCGAGAGAGCGATAGAGAGAAAGAGAGACCAGAAAAAAGAGGTGAAAATGAGAAGCGTTTTGTATGAAAGATGAAAAAATGAGGGATTGTGTATTATAAGGGGCAGCTTTTCCAAAGGGGGTGGTGGTGGTGTTAGTGCGCTACCTTAACCTGATTCTCTCCAACGCTATTTTTCTTTTCTTATTATTATTATTATTATTATTATATTTAGAAAAATTACATTTCTGATCCTTCAGTTATACTCATAGTATAAATTCAATTCTTGAGTTATATACGTGATCATTTTTAATTCATAAGTTAGGCACGAAATCACAATTTTAATAATAAAAAAATAAAGTAATAAAAATAATTAAAAAATATTAAAATTAAAATAATACTCGTATCAACTTTTCATTTCAACCAACAATTACACTAATATTTTTTAATTTCTATCAGAAACCTAACTTTATTGGCTCTCGAACTTTGTACTTTGTAGATTATATAGTAGATAGATTATGTTACGTTTACACTTAAAATGCAAACAAATAATTAAATAAAAAACAAAACAAAAACATCTAAGTTGGCTTTCGTGATTTTGTTGGGTTTAGGCCTCTTCAATTGTTTTCTTGCCAAAATGAGAAATGTTCCACATATTTCTATTTTATATGTTTTAGTTACATGATTTTTTTATTAAGGAAAAAAATAAGTTGTAATTTTTTTTTCTCCAATCAAATTAAGACATGTGGTAATAATTTTATTCTTAAAAATTCACTTATCATTTTCCACCAAAATTGTGGAATTATAAAAAGGTGAAATAGTATATCTTAGCTTCAATGAAGAGAGAGGGAGAGAAAAAAAAAAAAAAATAATAATAATAATAATAATAACGGGCAAATTTAATATTTTTTGTGGAATCTTGATTTTTCAAGTTTTTACCATAACTGAATTTCTTTTTATTTTGATCTAAAAATCACATTTTTACTTTTATTTTGTTATAAAAAATCCATAAATGTATTTAACATTTTTTACCTTTTAAATGAAATGACACAAACACATTTTTAGACGAGATTAGGATGTGACAACATTTCCAATACGAGAAAGCATTACCCTTAGGGAGGGGGTAGGGGTAGGACCGTAGGGGAGGCATTTAATTTGATTCATGTGATATTACCTTGAGCAATAAGATTACCTTTTTGAAAGATAACATGACATTACAAGATTATAAAGATTATATTGTGTGTATTGACAAGTTTAGTCAAATCAAAGTGTTGAGTTAACAACCAAATAAATTTAATGCTATAACGAAGTGTGTATTTACATGCCAAGCACCTTGTGTTCTGGCATGTAGTGCTTCTCTCATATAGAAGGTCATGAGATTGAGTCTAGTTGCTTCATAACTTTTTTTTATATTTATTTTTATTATTTTAAATAAATGACATCCTTTATCCCTCCCAATTAAAATCATTTTGGCATTATTATTATTATTATTATTATTATTATTATTATTATTATTATTATTATTATTATTTAGGATTGTGTTGGATGTATGGATGGTACTCATATAGTAGCGTGCATCCCTGAGGTTGATCAATTGCGATATGAAGGATATCATATAGCGGCGTACTCATAATGCTATTTAAATTTAAACCTATTTAAATTTTATGAAGATGTCCATTTAAATCTTTTTTACATTTATTAGCTTATCAAAAAGTTAATTTTATCTAACACTTTTAAGCATGATCAACTAGTTTAACAACTCTTCAGTTTTCAGCTTCTAGCTTGTAGCTTTTCATCTTTTAACTATTTTGTCAGCTAGGTTTGCCAAACATAGCCTAAAAGTCCATCATGTGTTCCGTGTTTTACTAAAGAATAGTTTTCTTTAGGGCATCTAGGACATCAATAGCGATGACCTTTTCATATTTTTGTCATGATTACATGGCTAGAGATGAGAGAGAAAAGCAATGGAGAAAAAAACATGTTGAATGCTAGGACAAAAATGCTTAATTACGCGCCATCTGAGCGACTGAGCGTGCATAGTGCGCTTAACGCGCCGATTGGCATTCCCTTTCCCTCCGCTCTTCGAGCGGGCCCCACAAAAAGAAACTCAACTTAGTGCAAATTTAATTTCTTGTCTTTCTTACACACTCTCTCCTCCATCTCAGAATCTCTCCCCTCCATCTTGGCTTTAAAAAAAAAAAAAAAACACACACACAAATGAGGATGTTCTTAATTGCTAGAGAGTTAAAGTTGGTTCTCCATCATTTTTCTCATAAGTGAGCAGGTATTTATACTACCATTAGTTCATATTACAATGTGTTGATTTTGTGGATCATTATGCGTTTAATACATAATTGTAGCCTAAGTGTAATTATGACTTAGTACTTTGATTGCTCACTACTATACCTCTTGGTAGGTGCTTAGGGGTCAAAAACTGAAATATGAACTTTTTAGAAATGAGTGACAAAAAAGTGATGATTTTAAAAAGTGAACAATATAGGGAAAAACTCATTTGGGACATACTTTGACAAAAACGTATGTCCCAAATGAATTTCTTCAAATTTCTGTAAATATTTTCTTTTATTGTTGGTTAAAGAGAAATGTGTTCCTCATACAAGTTCTCTTTGGCTGGCTCTGGTTAAAGAAATGGCGTTGTCTTTCGACGTTATCCCCGGCATCGCCTGCTCAGCGCGACACTCCTGCAGCACTCCTCCACGAAGGCGGAGACGAAGGATGCCAGCATAGTTAGGAAAATGCCAATATCCCCATCCGCTGCAGAAGAGTGATGCCTTCCTCTTTGTCATTCTTTTCTCATTTTTTCTCATTTCAATCATTAACCCGGTGCTTAGTCCCTAGGTGCGGTGTCTAAGTCAATTCAACTAGTTGCACCCTTTGACTTTTGTTTGGTATGAGCATGTGTTCCTAGGTTGCTTCTCCACTTTGTTGGGGCAGCCTAATGACACACGCACACATCTAATTCTAATTGGCACTATTAGAAATTAAGGAGTATTTCTAATAATATATGTTACAATCCAAGATTTTACCAAATATTATTGCAAATGATTTTCAATGGTACCTACTATTATTGTAAACCATTCTAATAACACTAGATAGAATCTATGATTGTATTGAGTATTATTGAAAATCATTTTTAATAATAAATTAAATATCACAATTAATACTATTAAAAAATGTTTTCAATAATACCAAATATAATTACAAACTGTACTGACATTATTGCAAATAATTTTCATTAGTAACATATACAAACAACTAAAATAAGTACTAATAAAAACCATGTCAATAGTCGACCCTATTGCCGATCAACAAAATAGACATTATATATATACGCACCCCCACGCACACATTTATAATATCAGTATATTGTTTTATTTAAGTATAAATAGGTGATGGTGGTGGTTGTTGTAAGGGATGCTTTATAATTAATAATGGTAAACTTTAAATACTGAAAGGTAATGCTATAATACCTAGGAGATAAGTATATTACTTAGGTTATCCTTATTTCATAAATTTTGTCAATTGTAAGATGATGTGAACTACGAAATGACTTTAAAAAATAATAATAATAATAATTTTGCAAATCATGTGGCTTGCCAACTTTCTTAATTAGAAAGCTTGCAAACCTACAAAAGGCTTCCGCATGGTAGCCTTTTTTGTACCTTTTTTTTTTATTAGTTATTTTATTATTATTATTATTTTGTTATTATATTTATAATAATATAATATGAAAGTGGAATCACTTTTGAAAACGAGAGAATATTATAGGAATGTAAAGAAAATAGTGAAAAAAATTGTAAATTTAATTATGCGAAAGTAAAACCAATTTTTAAAAGTAAGAGAGTATTACATGAATAAAGATATATAACCTGTGTATCATGGTGCGCATTAATATAATCCAAACATTTCAAAATAAAAGAATTTTTATCCAAATAATTTTGTAAAAGGGATATTGAATATAATTGATTCCACTTTGAAACATTTAGATTTAATTAGCAAAAGTAATTACAAACTTGGCCTAGAAACATAAGACTTCCACATAACTGCTCCAACAAGAAAGAGATTAAGGTTGAGTTTTTTTTTTTTTTGGCACAAGTGTCAAATAGGCCCATCTACTACTGTGAAATGCTCAATTCCCACCACGAACTAAATTAAGTGTCAAATAGGTCCATCTACTAATTAAATTTGTTCAATTAACTTTTTTTACAGGTTACCAACAGGTTATCTATTTATTAATTATTAAAAATAAATAAATAAAATAAAATAATTAAAATTAAAAAAAAAAAAAAAAAAAAGATAATAGCCACCGGCTGTCCTCGCTGACAGCCGGTGGCTATTTTTTTTTTTTAAATTAATTATTTTATTTATTTATTTATTTATTTAATAATTAATAAATAGGTAACCTGTTGGTAACCTATAAAAAAAGTTAATTGAACAAATTTAGCGGGTAAATGGGCCTATTTGACACTTAATTTAGTTCGTGGTGGGAATTGAGCACTTCGCAGTAGTAGATGGGCCTATTTGACACTTGTGCCTTTTTTTTTTTCCTTCCAAAAAATAAGCTCCCACACCAAATTTCAGAGGTCTAAATGTCAGTACCCTACTGCAAAATGGAGGAACAGTACAAGTGTACACAGTGAATGATCTGATCTGATGTGATAATTTGTATGTAACTTAAATGCAGAGCCTTAAAAAGAAAAAGAAAAAAAAAAAGATATAACTCAAAAACTCTTTTAAAAACACAGAATTATGAAAGGGGAAGATGGTCATTTTACTTTTGTTTTGCCCCCCACCCCCTTTCCCTTCTTCACTCTTGTTTCTTCTCCAGGCATCAAAGCAAGGATATAGCGTCTACCCAATATTCCTTCCATCCAGACAGACGCAGAACCCCAGGGCTTGATCCCGAGTGCATCATTGACTCCCAATTTCACGTCTTTCTCAGTGAAGCATCGGGGACCATAACTGGACGAAACACATGACTCTCTGTGATGATTGCCAATTGAAAAAGGCTGTTGGTAAAAGTGCCCTGATAAGATGGAAATTATGCCACAACTTAGCAACAATTAGTGGATGGCAACACAACACAAAAGCTTCGAAACATGGGGACTCAACTTAGAGGACACCACAGTATAGTATCCATAAATGTCTGCCCTGTTCTAGAGGGATAAGCTCACTCACAACAGAGTTGATAGTGTTTCAAGTCCCCCCAGGCGGAAAATTATTGTGGACCATGGTTCCACACAATGCTGTGTGGACTATAACAAAAACTATATTTTTAATATACTAAAAGAACATTATTCGTGTACTAAATGTACATTATACAAAATAATGTACTTTCAGTACTCAAATAATGTACTTTCCCTGAATACAATGTGCATTTTTAATATACTAAAAGTACATTATTTGTGTACTAAATGTACATTATTTCATAGTATGGTCCACATAATAATGATTGGTAAAAGTATGATAGCACAAAAGCAGAAAATACTAACTGATGATGATTGGGCTTTACAGATACCTCAGGTTCAATAGAACATTAGAAATGATTATCCCTGGATAGATACTAAATATAGAACAAATTATGATTGTCCATTTCTGAATCAAAATTTTAAAACAAGGAAAAATAGACGAATCCAGAATTCATCATTTTATGATCCAATCATCCAACACAAATTACTAACAAGTTATTTCTTATCATTGATTTTAAAAAGGTTGGTTCGATCATTACCTGTACTTTATGCACTCTGCTGGACTTGCCGATGTAATTGCACAATCCAATCCATATAGCCATTGGAACCACCCGTTTGGTCCTCAACTAGATGCGAGAGTAGGAAAAAGCCTTCTCTGGGTGGTTCGCCTTGCCTCACGAGGTGACATAATTGATAATACGATTGGTCACTTTGATGATACTTCCTAAGCAAGCCCATTAACTTTCTCGACATTTCATTGTCTTGCTCACGAATGCAAACCTGTTCATCAGGGATTTAGAAGAATAGCCAAACCAGAGAATATTTAACAAAGTACAAAACATAACCAAACATGAAAACATAGCGGGGAATTCTACCTTTGAGAAGTCTGCAGTGAAGTCATCGCCCATTAAAGTCTTGATGATATCAGGTGAAAGCATTCGGCCAAACCATATAACAAACCGGAAGCCATCATCGTAGATATAGAGGCCCCTGTCTTCCAAACTACCTATGGTAAGTGGCAGCCTTCTCAACATGTTCCCGGACTCGTCAGCAGAAGGAGATGTCTGAAAATCATTATTGGAATATGATTAAGAATATCAGAAATAGAGTTACCACATAAAGTTATTCTAATTTGATAGGTTTGAATTTAATAGATGAATATGCAAGGATTGGATATAATTGTAATTTTAGAGAATTTGGGGATATTTGGCTCCATTAGGTATAAAATTTTACAAAAGAAAAATACTTACTTTCAGAAGATACTCATCTATACGAGTCAAGTCAGGATACAAAAGTTTCAACAACTTTGCAACGGGCAATGCCATCATAGTAAATCCAGCAGCACAGCGTTCATCGAGTTGAACGTCAGAATATCCACCTCGTAGAGGTGTTGACTTGGATAAAGCCAGCGCATACAAAGGCAATAATTTCAGTGATTCTGGATATATCATCCTCCCCGCCAAGCGATGCTGAACAGCATACAGATTTCGATATTCTCTGAGGGCTTTAACAATTCTGAGTTGAATTGAACTTCTAGCTTCTTCCAATTTAGAGGAAAGAGTTTTCTCAGTTGCTGCACATAAAAATATCATTTTAAGAATATAAGAACAAACGGTAGCCTATATTTGAATGTTAATAATAAACAAAGGCAAACAAGGATAGTGATTTCTGTACCTAGCCTACTGAACAAAGAAATGATAGCGCCAGTATCAGCAAGGCGAAACATTTCTCCTAATTCTGCAACAACAGGTGCGGCTGCTGTGTGTACCCTAATGCGCCTTTCTCCAGAAGATGATGTGAATCTTTGTATTGTTAAGGAATTCTTAATTTTAGGGAAAAATAGTACCCAATTTTAGGGGAAAATAGTAACTTTATATGTAAGGAAGGATACAGCAGAGCAACTTGGAAATATACGGTCTGGGTAGTTAGCAGAGTTTCTTCAAGTGATAACTGCATTGCATAAGCCTTATCACAATCAACAGCTGGAAGTGCTAGTAGATCAGTGGATCGCAGCATAAAGTTCCCATGATAAGTGGTGAAACGAACACCTTGAAGAACAGAAAAAAAAAAAAAAAAAAAATCGAAATTAGTTTCAGATCAAACGTGCTCACCTACAACTTTACCCCTTATGTAGTTTACTTTTGAGAAGCTGTTCAGTATTGGATCTTGCCAACACAGTCCCAACAGTTTTCATTACTGAGAAATTGAAAAATAATGATAATGATAACGATAACAACAATAAACTGACCTTTTCCACATCGTATTCGCATCACAGCCTCCCAGGCAGTCTCTCTTGTCAGATCTCTTGCCAACTCATGACTCAATTTATCTTTATGAACGGAAGCATGGAAACTTGGATAGTGATATACCTGACCACCAGTATACTTCGCCAGCGTCCCTACACAATTACAAGATATTATCTTATGAATATAACTGCCTAACAAGATATCTAAAAACTAATAAGTGCGAATGAAAGTTATACCCTTCATTTGTGTCTGTTGTTTCCGTTACTCTTTTTATATACATTATGCTATAAGAGTTGTACTATACAATATTTTGGTCAAAAATACCCCTACCGTTATCTTTTCCAACTATTGTTGCCATGCACATGCATCCACCATATATTTTCTTATCTTCTTCAATGGTACTAATATATAGACATTATATATTGGAGTACTATATAAGTTATTTCCTAAAATATAAATATCAAATTTACAAAAATGGTTTACATTATTATTATTATTATTATTACTAAGTTATAGGAGTAGGCTTGGTCTCCTGTTCCTATAAATATAGGATCTCTATGCAGTTCACTAGATAGAGAGCCAATCTATTGTAATCTATTAGTATTAATACAACCACATAATGTCTCTTTCTTGGGTTTGTCATATATTTTGTTTTTGCCTAACTGGCAGGTGGTGGTTATTTGCCTCTCAGTAGGCTTTTCAATCCCTCAATTTCATCATAAATAAATAAAAATTAAAAATTAGATCCCCAATAAATAAATGTGCGTGTGTGTATAGGAAGGTAGATTATTACCTAAAGTTGCTATATCCATATACTTGTCACTAAAGGTATACACATTGACAGCAATTTGATACTTGGTGAAATCAGCAGCCATCTGTTTATAAAAAGGATCTTCTGGTATTCTCAGCATATGTTCTTTATCAGTTCCATACAGGCGAGGATCATCTCCACGCAGCTTCAAGCGGCCAATGCCCAGTGATGGCAGTGTGTTCTGAAAGATCAATAATTTACCGCCAAGTTGACTCTGTTTGTAGGAACACGATGTTTAGTATTTAGTCCATTGAAGGAAAGTCAACAATCTAAAGAAATTTCCTCATAACTATAAGCAACAAAATCGGTGTAGAGACTTGTAGAAAGAAGTTTACACACCATAACCATGTATGCAGCTTTAAGAGCAGGACCAAAAGCCGATTCCACATTCATAGTCTCCTGAAACATTGAAGGCAAGCTATCTAGAAATGCATCTATGACAGCTCTAGATTCTGACAAGTTGACAAGAAGGTCATCTGGCAATGGAGCAAAAATGTCTTCAAGATCTGATACAACCATCATTTGTGGCTGTGTCAAAGATGACTGGCAGCAAGGAGGCAAAACTGATTAGGTAGCGGAACACTGAGAATTTTGAAACATGTCAAAGAATTAGGCATTGCAACAATCGCTTACCTTCATATTATAAAAATGTATGGTAGTGTCAAAAGTTATGAACCCAATCTGTGTTCTGGGATATCCAGGCAAATTATCCAAACAACTCTTGATAGTTTTTGCTATAACCTGTAACATATTCACAGTTCAAGTATATCATGCAACATTTATTTCACAGCAGGTATCAATTTAAAGTAAATTTTAAAACACAAACACTCACCTCAAGCATTCCACTTTTTACAGCAGATATTGATACATCAATGAGAAAAAAATACAATGGTGGCATTGGAGGTCGGACCATGTACTCAGCTGGAGCAATAAACTCCACACTACCCTTAATAAGCTCAGGCCGCTGGTCCAAATCAACCCTTCTGCCACTGGCATCTAAATGGGCAAAATAATCACCAGTAACTGCACAAATATTTTGATTTTATCAGCCTTGGAAAGGTATAAACAAACAAAAAAGTTCTGTTTCAGCTGTGCAATTTGCTAGAGCCTTGCATATACAGTTTAACAGATTACCTATTACATGGATTTATTCAATTAATGGAAAGGGGAGAGAAGGGTCTACTTCCAATCATAGAACATTAAACACTATTATGGGATTCTTTTTTTCTACTAATATATCAAATATACTTCATACCAATAGAATTTAACTCAGGAAACAATTTCTTACTTATGTTAAGAAGATACTTCAAAAGGCTTACGAAACTCAGATTAACCGCAATTATAAACAACACGAGAACTTTTATGCAACGTTTTAAAAAGGAACAAAACGCTACATCTTTAAGCTGAATTTAGCATTTCAAATACCTTCTATAACCAAACATAAAATGATTGTACTAAATGAAGATCACTATGATTTAGTTGATTAACTATTTGACTGTAGCAAGGGAGTGGCGGACACATCAGTTATTTGGTGGTAGTTAGAACAATCAGAACGAGTGCAGTTTTATTTTCAACCATGTGGAAAGAAGGAAAAAAAGAAAATATTAAGGATGACTAAAAAGATATAACAATAAGAAGCCTATCCCTTCAAAGGAGAAATCAACAACTAGCAAACAAATAAACAATTCTATCATTAACTTTTCAAGATTCATGTATAAAAAGCAATATTCCACATAATTGATATATAGAAATGTGTACTCATGGAGAAATATTTACCATCATTAAGCAATTGGCATATGTTGCATCTCCATTTCCTTCCACTATCTGTAAATGTCACATATGGGTTTATATAAGTTCGACACCTTCTGCATCGTATAATGCCAGTTGTAGCAAAATTGACTACAGGAACTTCTTCCTGGTTGAGGTCAAGGAACATTTTGCATTAGTTGTAGATGAGCAATACACAAGGAAACTAATATTAACAATAGAAAAAAAAAAAAATTAAAATTGAAAGCATCAGAATATATACAAACCCCATCAGGAGCCTCAGCAAGAGGGCACACAACTGCTCCAAGGGATAAATGCCATCTTGAAGCTAGAGACTGAGAATTTGGTATGCCACTGGTTGTCAGCCGTAGATACCTAGAACTGCAGTTCATGGGGAACATTTCAGACAAGGGGCTTTGCTGCTCATTGCCTTCAAGTGGCCTTGGTAAAGCATTAGAATCAATTCCTGTGTCATATGATCCTGGAACAGACCCAATAGAAAGTGATTTGAAGTCCTCTGCTAATCCGTGCATTTGTGGTATAGGAGGGGCAGAACCAGGATGTTGCATTTTTGAGGGTGGTACATATCCTCCTTGTTGAGAAAGAAAGGGGCTAGGTGTTGCTGAGATATAGCCTCCTTGTTGAGAAGAAAAGACATTAGATTGTGCAGTTGGAGGTTGTGTAATTGCACTAGGTTGCTGGCTGGGATACCCTGGAAAACCTGGCTGCAAGGCCGGTCTGGCAAGAGGATAAGATGAGACTGTCTGAGGTGAAGATTGCTGTAAGGTAGTAATGGGAGCAGCAAATCGTGGATCCATAGGTGACTGAGGAACAGCGACACTTGGCTGCAAAGTGCCCATGCTCTGTGGGGAGGATACCTTAGGGACTGGAGGTGATGAAATAGGGGCTGAAACAGGTCTAACTGATGGTGAGAAAGATGGCGGTCCAGCAAATGAAGAATGCGGAGGTGGCACCTGGGCAGTTGAAGAAAATTGCGGACTTGGAAAACGTTGGAAAGAGCCTGGACCTGATGTACCATGTGATGCAGACATTGGAGGTGGTGAAATCCCCGGCGCCATAGGTCTGAAACCCGAAGCCTCATATCCAACCACAGGCCCAGATGAATAGGAAGGTGGCATTGACTGGGAGGAAGCGGGAGGAGGAGGCTGAAAAGCAGATGATTGGAAAGGTGTTGCACCCCGTGGAGGCGGAGCAGAAAAAGGTGTGGAAGCAGGTCTTAAAGGCAAATTCAATTGATTAGGATTTTCAGTCCCCATGGTTTAATGACAATGCTCCTGCCAATTTTATCAACCAAAAGAACAATTTTAGCACACCAATGACATTGAAAGCATGAAAAGTAACAGCAAATTAAGCTTCAATCCCTATCTAGTTGTACTCAACAACAATCTAACACCTGCTAAAATTTCAAATTGCAAACTCAACTCAAAGACTCCAGTTTAGCATTAAATCCCAAGCAAATAACCAAACATTCATCAGAAAACAAAATTCACATCAATGAAAGTTTAATTTCAATTCTTAAAAGCCACTCACTAACAGTATAACAGTTCAATTATTTGAACAGAGATCACATATTTGCAACAAGATATAAACAATAAGCCACAACATCTTAACAGATCGAATTAATACAAATAAACTCCAGATTGCAATTCAGGCTACAAGAATGCAAAGAAGAAGAAAAAAAGTTGAATTTCAGAGAGAAACCTGGGAAAGTATGAAATTGGGTTGGTGGCGGTGTTTTGGGTAGTGGAGAATTAGAGTTGAAAGAGGTGGAGATCGGCGGTAGTTGATGTTTGAAGTGCGATTTATATGGCAGTCAAATTGCAGCGCCGAAATTGATAGAGGAATTACGCATCAGGAAAGAGATCTAGAGAGGAGGGAGGAGCATAGGAAATAGGAATACGATGAGAGAAGAGGTGGGCACAGACAGGCACGTAAATTTCTCCTCAAATTTGCCTCCGCATCGCATGTTACGAGTCTCGTGTGACGGCATGCACACAACCACACCCCTTTTCCTGCGAGACTGCTGTCCTGTTTGGGTCAGAACTTAATTTCCTTTTTGGATTTCCAATTTTAGTTCCATTTGGTTTGAAAGAGTTCCATTTTATTTCTATGCGCTTTGCACAAATAGAATAATGTCCAATAATTATTTTTAAATAAGTATTTTAAAGTATATCAATGCAATATTATATCGGAGATGTTCATGCATAGGTAAATAAATTAAATGTTGAATTTGTTTATTTAAATCGGTAATTTAAAGTATATAAATGCAAGATAATATATGAGAGATTGATTATATTGTCACTAAAATAAATATTTACATCTTTGTAATAACGTTAGTCTAAATACTTAATATAGTCTAAATAAATACTAATTTTGATTTAAATTTCTCTAATTCTACTTTTGGTTTAAATACTATTTTTGGTTTAAACGATAGTCTTTATCTTCAGTACATGTCATCTTTTTTCTTTTTTTTTTTCTTTTTTATTGGCAGTGTGTCAAGTGCAATTAAGTTACTGGTGGTATAGCATAGATAGATTCGTTGTGCAATGAGATTATAGTGTAGGAAGTTTTAGATTTGTCTTGTTGTGTATATGATGGGATCTTAGTTGTACTATTAACTCTTTTATCTTACAAACATCTAATGGTATTTGGTAGTTGTAGTTTTTTCCCTATATTTTTCATGCATTGTGAGATGTATGCCATAGGTTATCATGTGAAAATACTGAACAAAATATTAATATTTATTATATTTGTATAAAATACTTGGTAAATAAATATATGTATAATATATTTTGTATTATACCTTTGATATTTAATTACAAGATAATGTAAAAAAAGAATACACTGGACAATATAGTAATATAATAAATTAATAAATTTGAAGGTAATAAATCTTTGAATTATAGAAAATAAAGATAATATAAATAATGAAATTATATCTCTTTTAAAATTTTTTATAATGAATAATTTTTTAAATAAAGGCATTATCCTTTCAAAGAAATAAAAATAAAGGTATTATAGATATCTAATTCTAAATTAATTAAATGCATATGTATTATTTTTTGTTGTAGATACTAATTTATTTAATTTAATAAGAGTAATAAATTGGCGTACATACTTTTCATCAACAATAATGAAATCATTGATTTAAAAAAAAAAAAATTTACACCGAGACAAATTATTTTGAGAGTTTGTCAATGACAATTGTTACAATTATTGTCAATAGAGGATGATATTAAATAATTCAAAATATATAGTTACAATAGATATCTATGCCATATATAAAAACAAAATTCTAAACTTTTAATTTCCCGTCCAATTCCAAAAATTTCTATTCTTATATTGTAAAATAATGCAATACAAATCCTAATAAAATATATTGGTTTCTACTTTCCTATTCGTATTATAATTCTATGTTAAAATTCGTATTATAATATTATAAAATAACTAGTATTTGCATCTGTGCGATGCACGGAATAGATTTGTTGTAATATATTAAAAATATATGAATCGATATATAATTATTTAAATTAGAACATCAAATATTATATAATGCAATTAAAGATATGATTTGAATCGTTTATATATTTTGATGTTATCATTGCTTGAATTTGTGCAAATAATTGCTCAAATTAATAGCTAATGTCTAGATGTACGCATGCGGTCCTATAATTTTGAAGATTTTATTTATCATTATTTAGTATTTTCATAAATTAGGCAAATGTGTTCGTTCTCTAACAACTCAGTTATAGAAATGAATTCCTATCCTTATTCATTTGTATGGAAGATATATTTTTTTTTGTCTAGATATATAGCAATTTTTTCATTTAAAAATAAATAAATATCACCGATTATATTTACACATTAATGAAACCTCTTTGTAGACGACATTGATAGTGACAACACAATCTTGTTCATCTTCGTCTAGAGCTAACATCTTCTCCATCAGGACGGGTTACTTGGATGAAAATATATAATGGTAGAATATCGCTCAATTAGTTATCCTTTTATATTTTCAGTCAATTCGTAATATCATATTCATTTTCAGCCAATTATTATTTTTTTTTATTTTCAGTCAATTAGTCAATTAGAATATCAAATATAGTGATATTTTTACCTAACTTTCGTTCCATTTTTAATTGATGATGTAGATATTATTATTGAAATATTTTCGTTCCATTTTTAATTTACCTTTACTATTGTTTAAAATATGCATTTACTATTGATAATGTAGAATATTATTATTAGAATATTTTCCTCCAATTTTTAATTTTCATTCCATTTTTAATTAAAATGCAATGATCTGACCATTTTTTAGTCAATTATAGATCATTTTTTATTTGCAGTCAATTATTAATATTCATTTCCTTTTATATTTTCAGTCAATTAGTAATATTAGATTCATTTTCAGTCAATTATTCTTTTTTATTTCCAATCAATTAGTCAATTAGAATATAGATGCAGTGATATATTTTTACCTAATTTTCGTTTCATTTTAATTTGATGATGTAGAATATTATTAATGTAATATTTTCGTTCCATTTTTAATTTATCTTTACTATTTTTTAAAATATGTCTTTACTATTTGATGATGTAAAATATTTCCTTTCCATTTTTAATTTTCCTTTACTTCTAACCAAAAAAAAAAAAAAAAAAAAAAAGAAGAGACTTTGTATTTCTCAATACTTGCCTAACCTCTTTTGGGTGGGATAATTGGCTTAGAGATTTAAGGCTGCTCCATTCCCAAATCCAAGGATCGAACCCTTGACCTTTAGTTATAAGGATGGATGAGTCACTTACACTCAACCACACCCTCCTGGTTACTTGCCTACATTAATGGGCAAGCAATTATGTTTGTAAGAGGAACAACTTATATAGAGGAGCTCAAGAGCTCATCTTTCCAAACATTTTCAATGTGAGATCAAAATGATCCCACATCATTTACAAAGCGAGCTCGTGACTCCCTTTGATCTTTTTCTTATTTTTTTTTTAAATTTTAAGTTTATTTTGTATATCGTTTTGTTTTGTTTATTATTATTATTGACAAATTCACTATTTTAACAATTTATCTTTAATCAAAACACTAAAAATATATTATTTAATAACTAAGTAATTTGCTCCAAGCTGCTAAAAAGTATAATAATATTCTTCTTCCCATATATATATATATATATATATATATATATATATATATATATATATATATATATATATATATATATATATATATATATATATATATATATATTAAATATTATTAATTGTATATAATATCTATTTTTAATTGATAGATGATATTGCAGAAATGCCCCTAAATTTTGGGGAGAAAATTTGGTTAGGATGATTTTACTTTTAATTATATATAGATAGATTGATTCTATTTCATTTTTTAAGCAAAATCTTCCTTAAAGATTAATAGTAAAATAAAGCTAACTTATTAATTAATCGATTCTATTACATTTTTTTTACGCAAAATTTTTCTTAAATATTAATAGTAAAATAAGGCTAAATTATTAATAACAAATTCTATTCTATTTTCTATGCAAAATCTTTCCTAAAAGATTAATAGTAAATATCTTAATGATTCTTTTTCTTATATTGCTTATTGATTCTTTTCCATTTTTCAGAGTGTAGAAAAAATTCACATGGCTAACATTTCCTTCCATTCAATTCCATTTTTCCATATTATTATTAATTTCCTTCCCAATATTATTCTATATTGTTTTGGCGTACGGCTTTCTTCCATTCATTTCCATTTTTTCATATTATTATTAATTGTTTAGGCTGGAACTTGTAAAGGAGGATATTGTTTTTATTAATTAATATAGAATTAGATTACCAATTAAAATACATTCAAAAAAAAAAAAGATTACCAATTAAAATTAAAGTTTTTATTATAATTGAACAATAATATTACCAATTATTATTTGAAGATTTTGTAAAATAATAAGTAAAATTGTATTACGGATAGGAAAATATATGTACTTTAATTTTAATTTTAATTATTAATAATTAATTCTATTTTATTTTTTTAACAAAATCTTCCTTAAAGATTAATAGTAAAATAAAGATAAATTATTAATAATTGATTCTATTACATTTTCTTACGCAGAATTTTTTTTAAAGATTAATATAGTAAAATAAAGCTAAATTATTAATAACTGAGTCTATTACATTTTTTAGGCAGATTTTTTTTTTAAAGATTAATAGTAAAATAAGGCTAAATTATTAATAATCAATTTTATTCTATTTTTTT